AACTCGATATGCGTGCGCTATATTCGGACATTTAAAAAAAAAGTTGAAGTCTCTACTGTTTTTCCCATTTTTGGATATTCAGATGGTTTTCAACGCTTTATTTGACTGTGTGAGAGTGTTCCCATAATAAATTTCTTTCTGCTAAAAATTTAAGTTTATGTTGATGGAGCAATTCTGAATTTCGCTCCATTGTCAATAACTGATTGATTATGTGTTGTTATTGAAATTGTAGCAAAATTAAGCTCTACGATTTACAAGAGGTTTCGAAACGAAGTTACGGTTTATAAAAAGTTTTTTCAAGAGACTAGCAGTTTCTTATGTAATTTTGAGGATTTCGATTTAGCGGGTACGAATTATCGAGACTCGACTGTACCACTAATCATGATGTTGTTCTCTATGTAATGCTTACAAATAATTACTTTATAATAATTATATTTAACGTTTTCTGTTTTATTGGTTAAAAAAGTCACTGATCATACTTATACTAGATAATCTATGTGCTTGGTGTACAATATATGAGTATTATATAAATATATACATATATATTATATTATAATTAACAAATTCATAGAGTTTTGATTGGTGAAAAAAATGGACAATGATCAGTTCGCATATCTGTCGGTATATCTGCCTCTCTGTCTGTCTCCGTGTCTGTCTCTCTGTCTGTCTGTTGGTCTACTTATCTATCTGTATGTGTAACAATAGCAAAGGACGAAGAAGAGCAACAGAAGCTCATTTAAGTTTTCTATATGTATGCAAAAGTATTCATTGAGTATTTATATCCCAATGATTCCCATTCGTTACTTTAAGTTCGAATACAGCTACTTATACCGCTCGTCGGGCTCAACATTTGAAAGCGACTTGGGGTCTGAGTGAATTTCGCCCTATATAAAGCTTCAGCATTTCTTCGGTCGCCCAGGCCTGAAGAGGGTCAGTCGTGTAAAGTGAAGTAAAATGTGTGATCTTTTAGCTTAGCATCAGAGTACTTAGGGGAAATATTTAGAGGAAATACTTAGATTGGGGGTGGTCTGCATCCAACTGATGCTCTTTAACGATTTGTTCTCCATAAATTTTTAATGAAATCTGAATGTATTGAAATCCAAAAAAGTTATTTTTATATAACCTGTAATGCGAATATCGCAATATAGCACGCATCGGTAGCTTTTAGAATCAATTTAGCTGCTCTCTAATGCATTTGCAAAAACACATTGAAACTGCTGAAATAGTTCAAAGTATACGTTGGCAACGTTCGCAATGTTTTCAAACACTCTTGGACTGTTTATCTTCTTGGGAATAATAAACAGTATTTTGGTAAATATTAATATCAACTTTTTTCCTTTACGAAAATTTTCTTAAGTATATTAACAGGCATCCAAAGCGACTTTCAAAAATGAAAACTGTACGTTCAAACGCGATGTGTTTTCAAGTTTTAATGTGCATATTTTAAATAAAAATAAAATCGACGTGGATATGATTATTGTAAGGACGCTAACTGTAGGCCTTAAGGCGCATATGAGCTTTGAAGCTCGTATGTCCCCAACTAAAGCTTATCAGAGTGTATTAGATCACGATATGGACTACTGCTCTCTACTTAAAGACTCCCAGAACGGAATATATGGCCGGATTGTCGTCACCATGACCAAATTGGGAAACTTCTCCAGGAGCTGTCCCGTACGACCAGGATACTACTATATGCATGGATGGCAGTTAAACCAGGATTCGCTGCCATCATATTTGTACCTAAAAGAATACCGGGTTACTGGTAGCTTTTACTATGGAAAGCGCTCGAAAAGAATGGAAAATCAACTAGCGGAATGCTCGATGGAAATGACTCTGATTTAATCCAAAATCAAAAAACGGCTTTCTGTTCGATAACAGGCCTCCACATTTAATAAAGGAGCAAGCTTTTTAGTAACTATACTATGGTTACTCTATTTAATAAAAGTTTAAGGTGTACACTTTTATGAGATACTATACCTAAGATTGGTTGATTTCAACCACGTGAATGAGTATAGAAGCCTCAGATGTGGTATCTCCAAATATGACCGAATACCATTTTAATGGCATCTGCCTGGAAATGATATACCGTTCTACCCTATATATATTCAACATTAGAATTCACGGCTTGATGGTTTAGTGAAATAGTATATAACGAACTAGTCACGATTGCCAGCAGATTCGGTATGGTCCGATGTCAGTCCGAGAAAACGTAGCAACAGTCTGTTATACAACTAAAACATGTAAGAAAACTCTAGTCGAGACTGCTAAACTACGAGATCCCCTGACCCCCCAATCTGATATTCTAATCATTCTGTACTTCTTTTATGTACATATACATACAAACACATGCAAAGACTACGAGATCCCCTGACCCCCCAATCTGATATTCTAATCATTCTGTACTTCTTTTATGTACATATACGCACGCATAAGCCCGCGCTCTGCTAACTGCGAAGTAAGCAGCCTGGGGCTGCGCTGCAGTGTTGGCAATATGAGAATTTATTTGTTGAATAATTTAATTTCTAGACGTACGATCCCTATGAAACTTTCAGAATGTTATCATAATGTTCAAATGTATGTATATATATATATATATATATATATATGTATATATATATATGTATACAAGAGTATGCATGCCGAATTTCAGCTCTCTAGCTTTTGTATCTTCTGAGATCGACTCATGCAGACTCATACAGACTGACGGACGGACGGACGGGCTATATCGACTCAGCTCGTCGCCGTGATCAAAAATATATATACTTTATGGGGTCTGCGATGATTCCTTCTGCCCGTTACATACTTTT